CAGTGCTCCCCAGCTCACCTCTCACTCAGCAGTGCTCCCCAGCTCACTTCTCACTCAGCAGTGCTCCCCAGCTCACCTCTCACTCAACAGTGCTCCATAGCTCACCTTGTGACATACAGCACAGCTCTTCTGCTTCTCCATGGTGGGACCTGTTTGGGAAAATGGAAGGAAGCACTCTCAGATTCCCTCAGACCGATGTGGGCAGGTGCCATGGGCTGTTCTGCTTATGCGAATCCAGCTTTGCCCTTAGGAATAATTGTTCACCTGGGGTTTGCTCTGTACTCTAGACATTTGCTTTTCAAACCCCCATTCTTCCAGTTTGGCTGATTTTTAGTCTGATCAGAGCCAAGCCTACCATTGCTGTCGGCTCTCTGAAGCCTGTGGTGCTTTCTGAGGCCTGAGGATGGTTTTCTAGAGCTGCCCTGTGGAAGGCAGTAAGGTGGAAGCAACATAAAACGGGCTGCCCTGAAATCGGAGGGCTTCATTGGACCTTGTGTTTCTGCATCTTGCTAAGAAAATAAATAGGATAAATGCTCTTGAGGCTAGAAGCCAACTGAACTTGCCTGTTATTTTCTTTCTTTTGCAGGGGAGAGACCATACTACCCCAGTGACTGTGCCAGCGGGGCCCCTCCGAAAGGGGACCTAGAGACACACCTCCAGCGCCCAGCCCCGTGATAGTGTTGACTGTGGCCTCACGGGTGATTGGAAGGCTCCCAGCAGTGACCATGGCCACTTTGGGGAAGAAGATCCAGGGTCTCCTGACCAGATACCTTAGACCCGGGAGCTGTTGCGCTAGAGCAGATCCAGGGAGATGCCTCCCTTGGTAATGTTTAGGGACAGCAAAGATGCTATGCCTAGAATTCCGTGTAGCTTTCACACACATGTATGTGCTCATCAACCATGGCCTGTGTTTCCTCGTGATAAGCAGTGGCATTGGCAGGCACAGTAGGAGCTCAAGGAGTCTGTAGTACTCAAGACAGGCATGAGACACTGGAAAAAAGATACTGGTGTGTTTGGATGGAGTGAAGGGCTGAGCGTTGTGGGGAGGTCCAGTGCTTAGGACAGACGATGCTGTCAGGACGTGGGAGCGGAGGGGTCTGCACTATTGCCTCTCCCTGCCTCAGTGGGTACTTACAGTAGCAGGTGAGATAGAGGGGTGTTCAGGTGGTGTTCGAGCGCTGTGTAGATGAACTTGGTGAGGCAGGGCGAGGAAATCCTCGAGGTTAGCTTAGGAGTCCGGCCATGACCCTCTCTGAGCTGCTCATGCTCCGCCATGCTGCGTTCTCACCATTCAGGCTGCGTCCGGCTCAGGAAACACTGCAGAGGTGGGACACATAGAAGTCTGCTTTGGAAAAGAAACAGTAGTTGAACACTAAGAGGAGCAGGTGTCTTTTTTATTCTCAGGACCTTTTTTGTAACAGGGCTACATTCTGCAAACTGCTCACAGAAGAAGACTCCATGTCTTAACAGATTAAGCCACTGAATCCTCCCAATTTGGGCCTGTTTTGGTGATAGCAGAAGAATCCTTGAGCAGATTGGGGGCCCTAGATCATTAGGGTGCTAGTGCTCTGGAACCTTCTGTTTCCCCCCTCCCCACCCAGCCTTTCCCTGCACCACCCCAGCAAATAGATGTCCTTCCCTGTCGGGCCTGGTGAGCACCATTGGACGAGTGACTTTGTCCACAGATTAATGGGGAGGCGCCAGGCCTGAGGGCGAGGATGGCTTTATATACCTCTTCCTTAGTCACGCAAGTTCACGTTTCTGCGGTGGGGTGAAGGCCCTAGCAGAGGCTCTGAACCCACGCGACGTGCGCAGTCGGAACTGTATTCCGCAGGTAGCAGCAATCCCTCTTCCCGTTGCTGTGACACTGTGTGTGATGGCGATACTTCTGCAAGTTCCAGATGTTTGCACATAGGATTTTATGCATTATCAAGAATTACTGCTGCCTTGAATGAAAATGTTCTGTGAAATTTTTTGCAAAAGCTTTACTAGTTTTTTTTATTGTGAAATTTTGTAAAGGCAGGAAATGGATTAAGACGAGCATGCTAAATATATTTTTCAAAAAAAAAAGCAATAATTTTACATGTACAGAAATTATCCTAACCTTTAATACTGGTGAGAGCGACAGTTTACTTAACCCAGTAATGGATCAGTGTGGCTTTTGTAGGAAACGGGCTTCTGATACAAAGACTTGTTTAGACACACATGTGTACATGAACCCTGGCGTGTGGTTTCTCTGTTCTCATAATCTGTTGGATTATTATTATTATTATATTATTATTATTGTTATTGTTATTGTTATTGTTATTGTTAGCTAATGTTTGATTCCAGATTCTATTTGTTACTGTTTTAATTACTTGACTGTTCAGGTGACTGCTGCACTTGCAAGCAATGCAATGTTAACTGGCTAGCAGATACATATATACACATATATATATGTGTGTGTGTATATATATATATATATATATAATTATTTTTTTTACTTATTTTTTCCTGATACTCCTACACCAGGTATGCATGAGAATGGCTTGCCATGTCGGAGTGCTTGGGAATATCAATCATTCTGAGACGTTACTTGGAGCAGGTTGCAGAGACACATTCCTCTCTCCGCCTGAGGCAGCGTAATCCATGTCTGTTGATGGCGTTTGTTCGTTTTGATAGGTTCCCCATCATTTCTGCATTCTCTGGTTTTTTGTTTCCTTGGCTGAAAGTGAAGGTGAGAGTTAGGAATGTCAGGGCCTGTGATGTGGCCTGTCTGTTTCTGTGTTTTAGTTATTAAACATTTCTGTACACAAAGGGACATGGAGGTGTCGGCTGCGTTTTTCCTGTGTCTGAAGCTGCACTTGGCATTGAGAACTGGAAGGTCTGTCTTCCGGCGAGTCTCCTTCCCAGGGTCTGGCGGGGAAGAGGGTGCCTGAGATCCCTGCAGCAGATCGTCTGCCTGGAGAGCAGCCAGTCTCAGGGTGACCTGCCCCTCGAAGCACAGAGATACAGTTTTCCTGTAGCCACAAGGCCATGAGGTCCCCCAGGGCTCACTCCTGGGACCAGCTATGTGCTGGTCTGGTGCATGGCCTCTTTGTCCTACTGGCCATCAGTATTGGACTGGTTTATTAATTTGTTTATGTCAGCTCAACAGTAGTATTTAATATGATTTGTGTTTCCTTATTTATTTAGCCGATCTGTTTTGATTTGCCCCCTCCTCCCGTGTAATTTCCGCATTTCTGACTGTTACAGACTTCCTACTACCTCTATGAATCTTCTGTCTCCTTGTTTCCTGACGGGGTTTTTACAGTGTTGCGTCTAATGTAACTTAGACAATAAAGGGTTTGGTTGTCTACACTGCAGCTGCTCTGTGTGTCCCCTGCCCTCTCCACCTGTGCTCTTCTGACTCCCGCCTCGCTTACTCCCAGCAGCTCAGCCCCCGGCATTCCCTGCTTCACTGTGTGACGTGTCTCCTCTTACACTTTTCCTCATTTCAAGTACACATCACACGTAACGGAGTTTCTCAAGATATTTCAGGTGATTTACTCATTCTTAATTCCAGAATGAAGGCTTAAGTTCACAAATAATAAACACATTGTGGACTCTGTCTCTTCTGGGGTGTTGCCCACTGCACTTTTTCACACTTCTCCTGGTTCTTCGAAGTCTCTTCAGTCTTGGGTCGGGACAGTCTAGCCTCTCCTGCATAGTACAATTTCCAAGTCAAGTGGACTTTGCCTTTTTGGTTCTGAAAAGTATTAGATATTTTAAGAAGTTTCCCCAATATTTGCTTATTTATTTTTTAAGCCCAGGAAGACACTGGTTTCTGGAAATAAGGTGTTCCAGGCAGCACAAGGCTACTCCATAAAACTAAAAGAGCCCTGCTGTCCCAGCAGGCAGTAGGGATGCCCCTTCCCCTGGGCTGCTGTGTGCACACTGCACACAGCTGGGACTGGAGTCACACTGCTTTTACGCTCCACGGGTGACCAGTTCTACCTCGGGCATCAGGGCATCACCGGCTGGCAGCGGTGATCTTTGCACCTCCTGGGAGCCAGGAGAGTTGACACCTGAGTGGATGAGGCTGTCTTCCAGGTCAAACAGTGGGTGCAGTTCTCCAGGAAGGAAACTCTCTGGACCTGTACGACCAGACCTCTCCCTGCCAGCATCTGAAGACATGTTTTGTTGTCTTAATGCTTATAAGTCAGGCAACTTCTAATTGCAACTTTTATTCACTGAGAAAAAACAACCACGCCCCACAGACAAGGCCTTCCAGTGACATGTTTTTGACACTAATGATTAATACACACTGCAGAGCCCTGGGACATGGCCGCATGGAGTGACCGCCAAGCAACGTGTTCCTTCTTCACCAACTCCGCTAACCATTTGTTAAGGTGGGAATATGCAGAAGCCCATAGAGTTTGTATTTCTTTTTAAAAAACACAATTTATAATGCTATATTTTGTACTCTTTATATTAGAATTTGTAACTAGATTGATGTATTTAACTATTTCTGAGAAAAATAACTCAATGTTACAGCTGTGTGATTAAAAGGTATTTAGATAAAACATTCACTCTATTGGAATTTGAAATAAATAAAAACATCTTGGAGTTATAAGACATCTGCCCCTCCTTTAGAAGGTGGCTTACATCATTGGACAGCCTATTTTGACCTGTGGTTATTTCTTTTTATTGGCTGAACATAAACCCAAATGTCACTTTTTTTTAAAACAGTTTTACAATAAAGCCACGGGGTGATTCATCAAAAAAGAGGCCAGAATGGATGCCCCCCACCCCTACCCCCGCCCCAGCCTTTTGTGGATTCCAGATAGCCCTTTTCTGTTTTGTTTTTAATGAAAAATTCTTGATGTTCACTGCACTTCTCTTCTGAGCACGAACACTGCTTTAATACTTAAGGCAGGATTAGACAAGCAATGGGACTTACAGCTATGTGTGGGGAGGGGGTCAGGGTGCAGGCAGCCCTGGCTGAAGTCTCTGTGTCAGACTTTGGGCATATGGTGGCCTAGGCCCTCTGCCCTTCTGATTAGGTGATAAAAATAGGGAGTTTGACCAACAGATGCCTAACTTAAAAGTATGTTTTAAAGGTAAAAGATGTACCTGTATGTCTATGGCCTGCCCTTAAAAGGGATGAGCAACTACTGGGAATGGCTTTTGAGGGCATGAGCGTGAGGTCTGGCCTCCACTGTACGCAGCTCACCTAACCACAGAGCTGTGGGTAATGTGGCCTGCACCCACTCCTGCTGTGCTTCAAGGTGAATTGTCGTTTTTGAGGGATTTCCTAAAAGGCCTCACGATTGGGCAGAGGAAATGCAGCCCTCTCTGAGGTGAGGTGTGTGACTTTTCTGGACCTTTCTATCCTTGAGTGGCTGGTTCATACAAGGATGGCATTCTCAGAAGAATGGAATGCTTTAAAGGGTAGCCGAGGCTGAGCTGGGCTGAACTGCAACGTCCCCTGAGATGTCGCAGAGCCAAACTTGGCCTGGATCCCCACGTGCCACTAACAGCTGGTGGCTCTCAGACTTGGTGCTCCTGTGTTCACATCTCAGATACACGTTCCCTTATTCTGCTTAGAAATACAGGAGTCCCTGCATTTGTCCCTCTGTGCAGCAGTGAGGACGTGTGCAGTGGTAGTCAGCCTGAAGCTCGAGCCCTTCCTTGGCTGTTGAGAGTTAGGGGACGAGGCCAGCTGATAGTCACTGAGCCCCTGTGTCACTGCATGCTCCCGAGATCCCTGTAGGATTCTCTGGAAGTCCTCCTAGGCCTGTGTCAGTTCAGAGTACGGTGCACGAAGTCTCACAGGTTAGTAGATATCCCACGTTGGAAGAGGAAAAGTCTGCTGAGAGGTTTATCTGGACCTTATCAGAAAATACCTTAAATTGGGTCATTTTAAAGCAACAAATTCACTGCTCCCAGTCTGGGTAGTGTGGGAAATCCAGGAGCAAGGCACCAGAGACTTGGCATTTACCTGGAGCTAGCTCTACCTCAGTGGTGGGCTTTGTTGCATCTTCCCCAGTTTGAGGGAGAAGCTCCTGCTGCCTCTTTCACGAGAGCACTGATCCCACCCAGGAGGGTTCTGCTCTGAAGACAGGTCTCCCAAAGGCTCTACCCAGGTTAGGTAATCCCAGTGGGGGTGAGTTTCAGTATGCGTATCCTGGGTATGTGCAGATGCTAGGATAATAGCAATGGCTCTTTCCTGCCAAGGGAGATAAGTAGGATCCCACATTAAGTCCTTGGTTTGGCAAGAGTAGAGCATCAGAGTGAGCTGCTGATTCAACTTCTAAAGGGCAAAAAGCTGGGCAGTATCTTGGTCTTAAAGGTGGTCTCCTCCACTTAAGCCTCTTACCAGACCCCCCTCACCTTTTCTGAACTCTTCCAGAGTCACAGGAAAAGGGAGGGACTTGGAGAGAAAATGAGAGGGCTGTTTACAAAGCCCACACAAGTTGGTAGCAGCCACAAAAGGCCTGGGTGCCTGGAGCTCAGCTTTGAGGTCAGGATGATCTTGGCTTAGTGCAGCCTAGGACCGGGATCACCAATCACCAGGAAGTCATCCAGGAGACAGGGAGATGGCTTGCCAGTGGTGGTGGCCGGTTCCCTGAGCTGTTTCTAGTTCATTATTGAGAAATGCTATATAGTCTTGCTCAGAAAGCTAGGGAGAGTTCTGATGCCACTGAAGTTGTGGAACGTGTACAGAAATAGGTAAGTGTTAAAACTTGAGCACACTGGCTGCCGTGAGCCAGCAACTGTGATAGATGCTGACATAGGAGAAAGAAAAGGGAGCGTGTATTCTGGGCTCAGAGTGGAACATGAAAGAAAACACCTAGAGGTGGATGAGAGCCAGTCCAGAGGGTGAGCGGCTGTGTGTGTGTAAGGATCTTCATGGGAGGCATGGAGGCCACCTGGAGGCCAGGGCTAGTCTCACGTCCCTGGGGCAGTCCTGAAACTCAAAAGCTCTTAGAAGACTAGAGCAGAACACCTGTGCTTCTGAGCGATGCAGGGGCATGGATGTGAGGAAACGGAGTGGAGTGCATCAAGAGCATTTTTTGTCAGATTTGGCAGGAAAGGTCCCAAGACTCCTTGTTGGTGACTGTTAGATGTCAATAAAAGTGAACCTTCAGGAAGAAAAGCTGTCCACCACCTGCCATGATCCCGAGGAGAGAGCAGGGTTGGCTCAGTGAAAAGTGTTTCTGAGTCTGCTGGTCGAAGTCGAGGACTTAGACATAAATTTGAGAAACGTGACTCTGAGGCAGTCCGGCTAGGCAAGAGGGTCAAGGGAGGATCAGGCTGAGGGAAAACATATGGGAGGAAGGTCCCAGCTCTGAGGCATAGAAATGGGCAGTGGGCGTCTTCACTTGGATCCTATGACTTCTCCTGAAAGAGGAATGACACAAATGGAGACCAACATGCTGGGATTTCAAGGCCGCTGCTCTCCTGCATGTTGTCTTAGTATTCTACACAGTTAGCACCACTTCACCTCATGGCAAGAAGCTGAAGCAGAGGACCACAAGCCAGCTAGTGGTGTCAGAATTCAGGTTCTGATGTAGGCTCAGATCTGTGTGCCATGGGATGCCACACTCATGATGAAGAATCATGAGAGCACGGTCTAGTACACAGGAATATGTCTCATGGTTCTGGAAATCACCCAGTGAGGTAGGAAGAGTGAGCATGTTGCCAGTCCATGGAGAAGACCTGCTGCTTTGGCTCTCTCAGCTAGTCCCTCCAAGCCTGGCTTTATATCTCTTAGGGACAAGAAAAACCGTGATGAACTCAGATTCTGAAGATATGGTGTGACTTTAATGGCTGCCG